CCCTGGCCACGCCTCCTCGCACACCCGGCAGCGCGCCGCTGATGGGGCCTGAAAGCGAGCTGTCGGGTGTACGAGGAGGCATGGCCAGGGCCGAGGGAGAAGCCCGACTCCTCCCCCCTTCCCTTCGTTAGCCGACAGAGCCACTCGGGGAAGGGGGAGGAGTCCGGTGACGTCGATGTCCGTGACGTCACCGGATCTCCGACGGAAGACCCGGAAGCCGGCGGAGAGGTGAGTAACTTTGATCGATCAAAATAATTTTGATCGATCAAAGAAATTAACGATTTATTGACGGCACACCCGAAAATATCTCACGGCACACTAGTGTGCCGCGGCACAGTGGTTGAAAAACGCTGGTCTAGGACAATGTTTCTCAATCTTTTTTCATGGCACCCGTATAAAGTATAAAGTACTCTTGAAATTCGTAGTGACTCCCCAAGTCGCCTTTATTTTGTCCACCGAGACTTGAGTAAATAGTCTTGCTCCCACCATGCACCTTCAAAAGGGCTCTTGTGGTTTCTGTGGAGACTACCGACCTTTTGGCTTTCCTGTTTTGAAGAGGGATGCTTGTGTACTCTTCTACCTTCCGGAAGTCTTTACCTGGTTGTTAAGATTTAGCCTCTCGGTATCTCTCAGAAATTTGCTTTCTGTCAACCTCTGCCATTTAGATCTATGGTCTGTTGGGACTAAACCCGAATGTTCCCCAGTTACCTTGGAAATTGCCATGTCAAGTTTGTTCCCAAAGAGCTTCTTCCCGTCATACAGAATCTTGCACCAGTTCGATTCAGATGATGGGTCAGCTGACCATGGCTTTAGCCAAAGAGCCCTGCGAGCAGTGATTGAGGATAGTAAAGCCCTAGCGGACACCTTAATTATATCTATCTTTGCCTCTCCAACAAATTCCTACTACTCTCATTTACTGCAAAGCTGTTACGATTTGTTCCTGGTTAATACTGCTTTTAATAGCTGTTGCAACAATAGATGTCAAGCAATAATTGCTTATGCTACAGCTGTCAATATACCTGCTGGCCTCCAGGTGTCCCCAGCAGAAGTATAGACTTTTTTTTCAGTCTAGATCTATTTTGTGGTCAACCAAATCTCTAACAGTCACAGTGTCTTCCACTGTGTAACATGCCTTGCTAATTTTATTATTGAGGTATCTATGAGTGGTGAGAAGACAAGAGGTAGCATTGCCCTCTCTTAGTGGGTACAATTTACTGAGGTGGTTATTGAGGCTTTTTTTGTTGTTGACTTCACTCCAGTCATCGTCCATACCTTTTTGATTTCCTCTACAACGGGAAAGATCATAATCTCTTTTGTAGGTGTGGGTACTTTTGCTGTTTACAAGGCAATTCAACCACTTCTTCTCAGACAATAGCTTCCTCTACTGCTCTTGCAAAGTTTTCCAATAGGGTAAAATCAAATTCCGATGCAATAAACTCTAACTCTTCTTCTACGTCCGAGCCTGATTGCAGAGGCTCTGATGTTGATTGATGGGAAGTCGATGGCGTTTTGCACAGAGGGTTATATATACTGAGGTGGTACAGTAGGAATAGCTTGAATTTATTTCTTGGACTGTTTGCCTCAGAATAGACACCATCTCTCTTATGTCTGTCTCTTTTCTCCTGTAGCTTCATTAAAGCATGATTGTCATACTAATCTTTCAGGTAGCAGTGATTCTACACATACCCAATTTCACAGATCATCTTAATTAGTTTGTATTTTGAATGAACTGGCTAAAATTTTAAATATTGCTGCTGAAACAGGCATGATCTGCATTTTCACATAGTGACAGGCCATCCACCTGTTAAAATATACAACACCAAAACTTTATTCCAAGAGCACCTTGCATAGGTGTTTTTTAAGACTTTATCATATAAGGAGCAACCTGTATTTCAAGCTTAGCCGTCCATTATAAAATAGCAATGGACCTGCTCTTCAAAAGATCTACTATTTTTCAAGTATAACCTATGAAAATATTATGTAATGAACAATAATGTGTCCTAGGTGAACTTATGCAAATAAAGAATTCAGTACTTTCTTTAATAGTCTGCTGTGGAAAAATTATATATATACAGTATATATATATATATATACAGTATATGTGTATATATATATATACCTTTATATAAATGAAAGACACGGCATAAAAATAAAAGTAAACATCTCCCAATGCTCACACTAGGCAGCCTAACCTCAATAGTTTGCTCTTTGAAAGCTTATATAACATAAGCTGCACAGCTGCTTCAAATGCCTTAAAATTAAATGGATCTTATTGGCCTATGTATAAAAGGTCAAAGCCTTTCATGGGACATAATGATTCTGACCATTTTGCTCACTTGTAAAGTTGTTCTGGGGGAATTCACCACATATTTGTAATATTTTTTTTAAACAAAATTTCTCGTCTTTTTTATACTTCAATGTGATGCTGATTTTTATAGACTGAAGGAAAGCACTGTGACATGTTCCTCCACAGTTGGGGTGCAGTTTGACAAACCAAAAAGTTGAAGTTTTAGGTTGTTTTGTTTTTTACAAACACATACTGCACAAAAACTAAGCAGTTTAACTCCAGTAAAACAAGAGGCATTACAAAATTGGGCTTTTTGTCTTTCTATCTGTTCACGTCACACTATGTGATTGCTACCTGGTCTTTCCAATTATTGTCAGATCAGGCAATTAATATTAGATTTATAGGCATCATTTTCACAAGTATATAGCAAGTATATACTTGGGTAAATTTTAGGAAATAAAAGAAGATACAACACCCATGTGGGTATATTATTCAAACTTCAAAATGTACATAAGGGTGTTAAGGCTATGAGAACCGTTACTAGTCTGCAAATGAACTTCAACAACAGCTTCACAACCACAAACTTTTAAGCTGCTTTTCAAACACTCAAGGACATTCATGACAGAATCATTTTTAAAAAAAGGTGTTAAATTGATGTATATTTTATCATTATTATGTGTGATAAAAAAAAACATTTCTAGGGACATAACATCAAGAATATTTGTTTCTGGCATTTAAATTGCTATTTTGATTAATGTTAACATGATTTCTACATATTCAGTATTGTTATTATTAGTATTAATATTGTTATTAGCAGTTGTAGTAGCAATAATAGTATTTTGATTATAACATCTTGCAGGTGAGAAATATCTTTTTATCAGTATCAATTCCGTTTTAAAACAGGAGCAGTTAGACAGTTACATTTAAAGAGTTAAATATTCATCCATTCCTGAGATCTGCACAGCTCAGGCAGATAGGGGAGCCAAGGTAGTGTCCTAACTTTTCTCCACTACAATTATGCAATGCAGCTTCGTCACCTCCCTGCTCCAAGCCTGTTCTTGGACAGTGAAGGAGCAGCAACAGACCAATGAGGCCATCTCTCTGCTCTTGCCTTCCATCCAATGTTTTTTAGTGTACACATGTGAATAAAGGACATGTGATTGGCCCTCTCTCTCCTAGTAATACCGCACAGGGCATTACAAGAGGCTTACATCAGATGAAGCTATTTATACCACTTTAACTTTAAAAAACATGTTTTTCATATCTACATAACTATAATAATTGGTGCTTGGCATTTAGATTTAAAATGAAATCCTTATCCTAAATCATAAACCTAACCCTTGGCATCTAACCTGACACACATAGTTCAGTACCAAAAAAAAGCCTCCTAAAAATCACATAATCAGGCTGTCCTGTTTAATGTTTTAAATGATGCAGCAATGGAGGAAGGACAGCTGCAGAGATTGAAGTTGGTAACACGTTCTATAGTCACATGACAATGTAAGGATATTTGCTCTGACAGTCACTTAGAAGGCATGACACCAGGTCAACGCATTCAAGTCAACACAATGAAAATGTAGCATACGCCATCTGCATGCTCCATTTATGGTGTGTTGAGCATTTGGCATTGACTTGTATTGACCTCCATTCTGTCATTCCAGTAAATACAACTTTTCCTAAAACACATCTTAAAGCATGTCAATAGATAGGGTATGTTTTGCATATGAACCCTAAAGAGAATGGCTTGCTAGGAATGCATTTAAACCTAAGTAAAGTCCAATGTGGTAATTTACAGCTAAATAATAAATATAAAGTGTTTATTAAGAGGTTTCGAGGAATTGGCTTAAATACACTATTTCCCAAGAAATGCTTTTAGAATTAAATCGGTTTGCTGATTTTCAAGCAAGCAGTGGATTCTGATTCGTGGTGTAAAATGTAAGAGAAGCAGGTTC